ATTTCATGTCTTTAGAAATATGGAGCGATATAGAAGGAATTTTGTGACATGTCATTGGACATGTCACAAAATGCAAAGAAGGTACCAATGAGATTGCTGTAGCTATTTTTAGCACTCAGCATGTGGTTTAAGAATCAGACGTGCCATCCAAAATCGGAGAGGAACAAGATGTTGAGCATGCTTTCAGAAATTTTAAAGAGCAACACCCTGATGTGGGAATCTGAACCACCAAAAAAGAAAATCGCTCATCTGCTGGTGGTATTTGACTTATGATGATGAAAATGAACATGAGTTGGCAGGCTTTTCTTTTGATTATCATCAAGCAGAACCCATCATCAGAATGGGCTCATGTGCTCTGGAATGACAGTTGAAGCATGAATGACTCTTTATTGCCTCTGTCTCATAAATATCTTGCAGTGATGGCTACTGCAGTACCACGTGAACACTTATTTTTACTTTCATATTATGTAAACAGGAAACGGGCAGCATTATCTCCTGCAAATTGTAACCAAACTTGTTTGTCTGAACAATTGGCTGAATAAGAAGTAGGTCCGAGTGAAGTTGTAGACTCTAAAAATTTACATGATTTTATTTTTGAAGTGTTATTTTGTACATAAACTTATAAATGTAAAACTAACTTTCATGATAAAGAGAGCTGGTAGGTAAGGTCCCATGGGAAGCAAGACTAAGAGGAAAAACAACTGAAGAGAGTTGGCAGTTTTTTAAAGGGACGTTATTAAGGGCCTGAAAGCAAACTATTCCACTGCATAGGAAAAATAGGAAGTATGTCAGGTGATCACTGTGGATCAACCAGGAGATCATATATGATCTGAAAATAAAAAAGGAGTAATATAAACAGTGGAAACTACGTCCAGTTACAAAGGATTAATATATAAGCAAACAACACAAGTATGCAAGGGCAAGATGTGAGAGGCAAAAGTACAAAATGAGCTCCATCTAGCTAGAAATATAAAGGGTAACAAGAAGACATTCTACAAATATATTAGAAGCAAGAGGAAGACAAAAGACAAGGTAGGCCCATTGCTTAGTGAAGAGGGAGAAACAATAACAGGAAGCTTGGAAATGGCAGAGGTGCTTAATGATTTTTGATTTTCACCAAGAAGTTTGATGATGGAATGCCTAACATAGTCAAAGCTAGTGGTTCTAATGTTAATGGGGTAGGTTTAGAAGTTAAAATTAAAAAAAGGTAAAAATTACTTAGAAAAGTTAGATTTCTGGCAAGTCACCAGGGCCTGATGAAATACTCAAGGAATTGCTAAAGGCCTCCTCTATCTATCATTTTATGAAAAGTAATGGAAGTTGGAGAGATTCCAGAAGTCTGGAAAAGGGAAAATATAGTGCCTATCTATAAAAAGAGAAATAAGAACAACACAGGACATTACAGATCAGTTTAACTTCTGTGCAAGGGAAGATAATGGGGAAAGTAACTAAGGAATTCATCTGCAAACATCTGGAAGATAATACAGTGATGCGTTACAGCCAGCATGGATTTGTAAAGAACAAATCATGTCAAACCAATCTGATAGCTTTCTTTGATAGGATATTAATCCTTGTGGATAAGGGAGACGCGGTGGATGTGGTATACTTAGACTTCAGTAAGGCATTTGACACAGTCTCACATGGCCTTCTTATCAATAAACTAGGGAAGTGCAGCCTAGATGGGGTTAATGTAAGGTGGGTGCATAACAGTCTGGATAACCATTCTCAGAGTAATTATTATTGGTTCATATTCATGCTGGAATGTTTACACGGTTCTTTCTAAAAAGTTTTTTTTTTCTTGAAAGAACTGCATCTAGACTACTTTCTTTTTTGAAAGTGCTAGCTTTGAAATGTATAAGAGTCCCCAGCTGGGGCTCTTGTGCATTTCAAAGGGGCAGTGCAAGATGAAGCCCATGATCATCTGGGGCCTCAGAATCCCCTGCTGACCCTGGGCTCCATGCTGTGCTGCTGATTAGAAATGCCATGCGGAGCCAGGTTCAACTGGAGACTCTCCAGCTGATCCTGGTTTTGTGGGAATGCTGCGCTGGAGTCCGGGATCAGCTGGGGAGTCCCCAACTGACCCCAGGCTCCATGTGCAGCAGCACCGCACAGCTGAGCCCAGAAGCACCTCGGTGTTTCAAAGGGGCAGCCGCACAACTGATCCCTGGCTTAGCTGTTCAGGCTGCCCCTTTGAAGTACCCTATCTTTCCTCCCCCTTTGCTGCCTCTATCTGATAGAGGCAGCAAAGTGGGGAATTGACTAGTCGACTAGTTCTTAACATCCCTAGTGAGCCCTGTACACTTAGTATTCTGTGTCGTAATTGAAATAATATATTTGAAAATATGAAAAAAATTCAAGATATTTAAAAAAATAATAATCTATTATTCAACAACACAATTGTGATTTATTGTGATTAATTTTTAAAATCTCTTGACAGCTCTAAAAAAAATCTATTTTTTCACAATGAAAGGAAATGTTCTGTTGTGTTTTTGGTATATGGGAAGTTCTGTGAAAATATTTTACAAACTTCTATTTGGCTACCTCAACAGTATATAAGAATTTTTGCATGCAAACAACACTTTCTTTAACAAAGAATTGTTTAGAATTTTCAAACTAATGGAGGAATAATGGTTGTCTTGCAAATAAGGCAAAGATGAGATGTTATGAGATGAGGATAATCTCTGAGCCATGTCTACACTATGAGATTAGGTCAAGTGTATTAAAGTCAATTGTTAGTATCTGATTTTGTAAAGTTGAAGGTGAATACCTCACTGTGCACAAGAGTTCATCGTAGTGCATCCCCAGGGATGCACTGTGGGTAGCTATCCCACAGTTCCTGACACCCCTTTGCATTCTAGGTACCCAGTGCTTGATGGAACAAAAACAGTGCAGTGGTTCATGTCGTCAGTCATGCATTCCATAGTGCATTTCTCCCGCCGCCCCCCCCACCCCCCC